TCCAGGCGGTCACCCATCCAAGTACTAACCAGTGATCGGACGAGAACTGGTGCTTTCAACGTGGTATGGCAGTAGACATTATATAGGAATTTTTCTGACGGGTCTTTCTCGCAAATCAAGGGGAAATACCAGCAAAAAGGAGTCTACAGCACTCGGTGTTCCCAGGCGGTCACCCATCCAAGTACTAACCGAGCCCGACGTTGCTTAACTTCAGTGATCGGACGAGAACTGGTGCTTTCAACGTGGTATGGCCGTATACATTATATAGGAATTTTTCTGGCGGTTCTTTCTCGCAAATCAAGGGGAAATACCAGCAAAAAGGAGTCTACAGCACTCGGTGTTCCCAGGCGGTCATCCATCCAAGTACTAACCGAGCCCGACGTTGCTTAACTTCAGTGATCGGACGAGAACTGGTGCTTTCAACATGGTATGGCAGTAGACATTATATAGGAATTTTTCTGGCGGGTCTTTCTCGCAAATCAAGAGGAAATACCAGCAAAAAGGAGTCTACAGCACTCGGTGTTCCCAGGCGGTCACCCATCCAAGTACTAACCAGTGATCGGCCGAGAACTGGTGCTTTCAACGTGGTATGGCCGTAGACATTATATAGGAATTTTTCTGACGGGTCTTTCTCTCAAATCAAGGGGAAATACCAGCAAAAAGGAGTCTACAGCACTCGGTGTTCCCTGGCGGTCACCAATCCAAGTACTAACCGAGCCCGACGTTGCTTAACTTCAGTGATCGGACGAGAACTGGTGCTTTCAACCTGGTATGGCCGTAGACATTATATAGGAATTTTTCTGGCGGGTCTTTCTCGCAAATCAAGGGGAAATACCAGCAAAAAGGAGTCTACAGCACTCGGTGTTCCCAGGCGGTCACCCATCCAAGTACTAACCGAGCCCGACGTTGCTTAACTTCAGTGATCGGACGAGAACTGGTGCTTTCAACGTGGTATGGCCGTAGACAATATATAGGAATTTTTCTGGCGGGTCTTTCTCGCAAATCAAGGGGAAATACCAGCAAAAAGGAGTCTACAGCACTCGGTGTTCCCAGGCGGTCACCCATCCAAGTACTAACCAGTGATCGGACGAGAACTGGTGTTTTCAACGTGGTATGGCAGTAGACATTATATAGGAATTTTTCTGACGGGTCTTTCTCGCAAATCAAGGGGAAATACCAGCAAAAAGGAGTCTACAGCACTCGGTGTTCCCAGGCGGTCACCCATCCAAGTACTAACCGAGCCCGACGTTGCTTTTTTTTTTTTTTTTTTCTTGTAAAATGTTTATTCTCAAATTATATGATATAAGAATACATTAAAATAAAATTTAAAATCATTTTTAGAATATCACAGTTAGAATAATTATCACAGTTGAGTTATAAATTTGATATTAATTCTATTTGCGTCTATTACTATATAAGGTGATAGTGCAAAGTTGACTACAACCTTACTTCTATTAT